GTTACATTAAAGTCATAATATCGATTTTCATCATCATTCAGGTTGAACTTTTCCCATTTTACTAACGCCTCACGAATCTACCGGATTTCCACGCCTACTGAACCAGTCTGGTCTACGAATTCACCTACAGCCACGCATACCCGTATTCAGCTCACCACCAAAATCACGGGCTTCTACATCCGTGGACGATGACAATTTGAGTTCACATTCATTTGTCATCCGTCAGTCATCACACATGCATGGCTGACACAACATCTTCCTATCATAAAAGAAGTCAAAGTCATAAACATTTAGGATTAACACTCCAAAGCGATTGTACCTGGAATGATCACACTAATGATATTGTACGTAAAGTTAAGCCCTATGATCAGTTGTCTGAGGAGTTTTAAATACCGATTATAACGTAAAAACGTTGGATATTATGTATAAATCCTATATCTTGCCAATATTTGACTATTGTTCGCATATTTGGGATAACTGTACTTCTGAGCAATCGGCGTACATTAGAAAATTTACATCTTGGTGCTCTGAGAACTATATGTGGTGCCGTTCGTGGCATGCACAAGTCATAACAAACTTTATAATGAAACCAAATCTCAGTCCTTGCAAGATAGAAGGTATTGCCAGAAGTTAACTTTTTCTATAAGATGTACAACAACTAATTGCCAAAATATCTTTGTGACCTGATCCCAAACTCCGTCTCGAACTACAAACTACAGCTTGAGGAATAACTCTGAAATACAAGGAATTTACAGTCACACTGCCTCTTATGCTAAGTCCTTTTTACCTGCCACAATAAATTTATGGAATGCCCTACCAAATTCCAATCGTCATGTAATCTCACAGAATTTAAAACCTAATTACCAAAACTGAAAATAAGATTTACTTTGACCTAAATTATGGCACTTTCGCTTTGCCTCCAGGCTCGGATGTAGCTTACCTAAACGCCCGATAAGTATAACAGACATTTAATAGACAGCCCTTGTTGTTCTTTTGGACATCAGAGTGAAAACGCCCTACACTATTTCCTTACTTGTCGTAACTATACTCGGATATGACTTAATATGTATTTTTACACTACCGTTTATAACCTGGATACCATTCTTAAGGGAAACAAAGAACTTACTCCCTGTAAAACCAGAAAATAGTTGAATCTGGTCCACGATTATATAACCAAGACACAACGCTTCAAATTTTCTCAGGAAAATAATTAAATTTACTCAACAATTAAACCTTCTCATGATTGATTTATATTTCTACAATGGCTTGTTAGACACACACAACTGTAACTCTCTAACTTATGACTACTTAGAGAATAGTTGTATTTCATGTAATCTGTATATATTTATATATTTAAATATATTATATTTATGCAATGGTCAGTATCGATGACGTCAAATCCTCCATTTTCATGTTGTATTATATGTTGCATGGGAGCGGTGTTAATATAAGCAGTAATGCTTGTTCACCAATCCCAATTCATCTTCATGAATAAAAAATATGTTTAAATCACAACTTCCTAAACATAGTCGATGTCTCCAGAACCCGCGACATAAATATGTTTTAATTGATTAGAGGTCTGCAAAAGGGTGTAGTTACTTCCCCATGCGCATGCGAATTACCTCCCTTTGATTAAATGGTAGCCTGTTTTCCAAGATCGCTTGTCGACTGTTTTGGAGGAAATGGAATGAACAGTTCATTGTTGTCTCGACACGAAGACTTCGATTCTTGTGCACTGACTAAATGCATTGATGTGATATCTATAGAAAACCTAAATTACTTGTGTATGCCTGCAATGGCACGTGTACCCTTCAAGTGGCGTGTGTAAGCAAGTATACTTTTACTCGTGTCTCCATGGAATATATTGATGAACTTTTTGAATAACGTTTTCAACCAGACTGAAGGTTTTGAGGAAAATGTCCGTCTCTCATCCACTTTTGAAAATACTAAAAGGTTTGTAATCATCTAAGAATGGTTAACAGTCCATTTACACGGCTGTCCGTGAATTGTCTGGGTGTTTCACGTCGCTTAAATGTGTACCATGCAAACCAGAAATAAAATAACTGTAGCCTGTTCTCAAATGGCTGAAATTCTGCAGCTTCTTGAGATGTTGGGTTCCCTGCCAGATAATTCATTTTTGTCTGCTGTTTGATTCATCAGATAACTTACAATCAAATGCAACTAGTTTCTGTGTTCAACATTTCTTCTTACTGTCTTGAGGTTTATATACTATAAGTGATTGTACAGGTAAACTTTATCGGCGGATCAGACAAAATTAGTCTACTCATCGTAATTTCCCGACTGTTTTCATTGTTGTGGGTGGATTAACAGGTTTCACTGAGTTGTTGTGGGTGGATTAACAGGTTTCACTGAGTTGTTGTGAATCTGGATTAACAGGTTTCACTGAGTTGTTGTGAATCTGGATTAACAGGTTTCACTGAGTTGTTGTGAATCTGGATTAACAGGTTTCACTGAGTTGTTGTGAATCTGGATTAACAGGTTTCACTGAGTTGTTGTGAATCTGGATTAACAGGTTTCACTGTGTTGTTGTGAATCTGGATTAACAGGTTTCACTGAGTTGTTGTGAATCTGGATTAACAGGTTTCACTGAGTTGTTGTGAATCTGGATTAACAGGTTTCACTGAGTTGTTGTGAATCTGGATTAACAGGTTTCACTGAGTTGTTGTGAATCTGGATTAACAGGTTTCACTGAGTTGTTGTGAATCTGGATTAACAGGTTTCACTGAGTTGTTGTGAATCTGGATTAACAGGTTTCACTGAGTTGTTGTGAATCTGGATTAACAGGTTTCACTGTGTTGTTGTGAATCTGGATTAACAGGTTTCACTGAGTTGTTGTGAATCTGGATTAACAGGTATCACTGTGTTGTTGTGAATCTGGATTAACAGGTTTCACTGAGTTGTTGTGAATCTGGATTAACAGGTTTCACTGAGTTGTTGTGAATCTGGATTAACAGGTTTCACTGAGTTGTTGTGAATCTGGATTAACAGGTTTCACTGAGTTGTTGTGAATCTGGATTAACTGGTTTCACTGAGTTGTTGTGAATGTTAATTAGGAAGTGGTGAGTTGTTTTGATTGCGAAATACTCTGTGTAGGAGATGTAAGTGTTTTCTTAAGAAGTGTTTTCTGCTACTTCTGCTGGTCTGCTTAGTTGAATGTTGAATGACGATACTTACCTAATACATATCTTTTAATTTTACACAACTGAATTTAATATATTAGCGGCCTATGATTTGTCGGAATTTGTCGGACGTGGACCGCTGTGAAGCATATTTTATTATTTTAAGCATATTTTCATCGCCGATCATACTTACCTGAATTATTCTATTTATTTCACAAAATGCAAACACTTTTCGGTTACATTAAAGTCATAATATCGATTTTCATCATCATTCAGGTTGAACTTTTCCCATTTTACTAACGCCCACGAATCTACCGGATTTCCACGTCTACGAACCAGTCTGGTCTACGAATTCACCTACAGCCACGTGCTACCCGTATTCAGCTCACCACCAAAATCACGGGCTTCTACATCCGTGACGTATGACAATTTGAGTTCACATTCATTTGTCATCCGTCAGTCATCACACATGCATGGCTGACACAACATCTTCCTATCATAAAAGAAGTCAAAAGTCATAAACATTTAGGATTAACACTCCAAAGCGATTGTACCTGGAATGATCACACTAATGATATTGTACGTAAAGTTCGCCCTATGATCAGTTGTCTGAGGAGTTTTAAATACCGATTATAACGTAAAACGTTGGATATTATGTATAAATCCTATATCTTGCCAATATTTGACTATTGTTCGCATATTTGGGATAACTGTACTTCTGAGCAATCGCGTACATTAGAAAATTTACATCTTGGTGCTCTGAGAACTATATGTGGTGCCGTTCGTGGCACAAGTCATAACAAACTTTATAATGAAACCAAATCTCAGTCCTTGCAAGATAGAAGGTATTGCCAGAAGTTAACTTTTTTCTATAAGATGTACAACAACGAATTGCCAAAATATCTTTGTGACCTGATCCCAAACTCCGTCTCCGGAACTACAAACTACAGCTTGAGGAATAACTCTGAAATACAAGGAATTTACAGTCGCACTGCCTCTTATGCTAAGTCCTTTTACCTGCCACAATAAATTTATGGAATGCCCTACCAAATTCCAATGCGTCATGTAATCTCACAGAATTTAAAACCTAATTACCAAAACTGAAAATAAGATTTACTTTGACCTAAATTATGGCACTCGTTTTGCCGCCTCAGGCTCGGATGTAGCGACCTAAACGCCCGATAAGTATAACAGACATTTAATAGACAGCCCTTGTTGTTCTTTTGGACATCAGAGTGAAAACGCCCTACACTATTTCCTTACTTGCCGTAACTATACTCGGATATGACTTAATATGTATTTTTACACTACCGGTTATAACCTGGATACCATTCTTAAGGGAAACAAAGAACTTACTCCTGTGTAAACCAGAAAATAGTTGAATCCGTCCACGATTATATAACCAAGACACAACGCTTCAAATTTTCTCAGGAAAATAATTAAATTTACTCAACAATTAAACCTTCTCATGATTGATTTATATTTCTACAATGGCTTGTTAGACACACACAACTGTAACTCTCTAACTTATGACTACTTAGAGAATAGTTGTATTTCATGTAATCTGTATATATTTATATATTTAAATATATTATATTTATGCAATGGTCAGTATCGATGACGTCAAATCCTCCATTTTCATGTTGTATTATATGTTGCATGGGAGCGGTGTTAATATAAGCAGTAATGCTTGTTCACCAATCCCAATTCATCTTCATGAATAAAAATATGTTTAAATCACAACTTCCTAAACATAGTCGATGTCTCCAGAACCCGCGACATAAATATGTTTTAATTGATTAGAGGTCTGCAAAAGGGTGTAGTTACTTCCCCCTATGCGCACGAATTACCTCCCTTTGATTAAATGGTAGCCTGTTTTCCAAGATCGTTTGTCGACTGTTTTGGAGGAAATGGAATGAACAGTTCATTGTTGTCTCGACACCGAAGACTCGATTCTTGTGCACTGACTAAATGCATTGATGTGATATCTATAGAAAACCTAAATTACTTGTGTATGCCTGCAATGGCACGTGTACCCTTCGCGTGACGTGTGTAAGCAAGTATACTTTTACTCGTGTCTCCATGGAATATATTGATGAACTTTTTTGAATAACGTTTTCAACCAGACTGAAGGTTTTGAGGAAAATGTCCGTCTCTCATCCACTTTTGAAAATACTAAAAGGTTTGTAATCATCTAAGAATGGTTAACAGTCCATTTACACGGCTGTCCGTAATTGTCTGGGTGTTTCACGTCGTTTAAATGTGTACCATGCAAACCAGAAATAAAATAACTGTAGCCTGTTCTCAAATGGCTGAAATTCTGCAGCTTCTTGAGATGTTGGGTTCCCTGCCAGATAATTCATTTTTGTCTGCTGTTTGATTCATCAGATAACTTACAATCAAATGCAACTAGTTTCTGTGTTAAATCATCCAATAAACAAACAAATTGTGTGGGAGTACTGCACTTTACCGGGCGCACTTTTTCAGATTATAATTAGCGCAGCTTGGGTTCCCTAACCCTAACCCTTACCCCTAACCCTAAGGATCGTAAAGGGTGCCTAACCCTAAGGGTCGTAAAGGGTGCCTAACCCTAAGGATCGTAAAGGGTGCCTAACCCTAAGGATCGTAAAGGGTGCCATACCCTAAGGATCGTAAAGGGTGCCATACCCTAACCCTAAGGATCGTAAAGGGAGCAGCGAGGGCTGCGCCCGGTAAAGTGCATTCTAGCCAATTGTGTTCTGAGTGTTCCGATTACTTGTTATTGTTATGTTGGTGAATGACATTCTTCAAATTAGTTATTTTTAAAATTAAATGTGCCTCCTTAAAGAAAAGGAAGTCCTTTTAGAACACATTCAAGTTCCATTTGATAAAGACTAATATCTTTGATCATGCGATTACCCCGTCCAGCTCATCACTGACACATTGGTTTGACACTTTCTGCCTTCATTTATTACTTGAATCCAATTTTCATGACTTCGTAAAGTGTATGGGAAATATATTTCAGATTGTGAAACTGGGTGGGTGGGAGTGGAAAAAGTAGCAGTGTATGCTTTTTTATATATGATTACCAGAAAGTAATACAAAGTAGAAATATTTCTATATCATGATAGAAAGAAAACTTAAGGAATACATTTATTTTCAGAGAAAACATAAATTTGGACTAAGTTTGCAAAAGACAATTGTATAAGGTGCTGTGGGACAAATAAGCTGAAATGGTATGCAATATAATTCATTAAAACGTCAGGGTTGAAATCTAAAAAATGATCTCAGCGTTTTTTTGGTTTTTTTTCATAAGTAAAGATTTATCTTGCCTTTCTTCAACGGTAATATTCATGAAACAGATCAAATTCTGTTTTAGCTAAATGCTGTTTTATAAATCCACTCAAGTTATTACAAACTTACAAGAAATGCCCCGCATGACAGTATTATAAGCTTATATGAACCCTTACCTGTGATATGCCCCTGTATGTAATGAGGTGAGGTGAAATTGGGTTTAACGTCGTGCTTGAGAATATTTCGCTCATATGACGACGTGCATGCATGTATATGTGTATGTGCGGCTGCTTGTACTAGCCCAGACTTAAGCTGGTTTTATAGTGCTAGCCCACTGAGATACCATGCAGCAGTGATGCATGAATACCCCACTCAGACACATTATACTGACTCCGAGCCGACCAGTCCTTGTTGTACCCATTAATGCCGAGCGCCAGGCAGGGACAAGTACCATATTTTAACGTCTTTTGGTATGACGCGGTCGGGGATGGAACCCGCGACCTTCCGCTCTCTGGGCAGATGCTCTAACCACTACACCATGGAGGCGGTCTGTGTATGTAATGAGACATCCCTACTGAAGTGGTCCTAATCTACTGCCTTCGACTGGGCTACTTGCAACAGAGTGCTAGTGTTAGAGCCACCAATATTTAGACAATCTAAGTAATTGTGTCACTTGATGATGGTGTGCAAGGTAAATGGGCCACAAGGCACCATGAGGCTGGTCATGCACGTCACAGTCCTCCGACCTGGAGGGAAGGGGATGTAGTGGGCAGTCACTGACCACTACCGGTACTGGGATGGCCGTGTCCAACATCACTGAACAGCACAAGTGGTTATCACTGGATAGAATGCGGTCTCCTAAGTTGCTTATGCTAAAATTAGACCTGCCCATTAGCCCCATACAAGTCTGTGTTCTTTCAATGTTTTTTTCACCCTTCTCAGTATAAAGTTAAGTAATGTTAAGGCTTTTTTCACCGCCAATGCATCATGGAATGTGGAATAAGGTTTTGGGTTGTACAGTGGTTTGAGGCAACCAACGAAGTAAATGTTTGAAATCCTAACATGTTCTGAGAGATTATTGCCAGATTGAAGCTAGATTTCAAGGTTTATGTGTAACACAAACTCAAGCATACCATCGAACTCGCTCTTTGGATTGAAAGTAATATCTCAAATAATTGAAATTCTTAAAAATATGTCCCTCTAACACTTGATTGCTTTTTTCCTCTAACTTGTTTCTGAATCCACAGGCTAAGCTTGATTAAAGATTTTTTTAAGTCCATGGTTTTGTGTTTTCTTTCTTCTTAGTGGTCCTCCAAGTGCTATCTGCAATAGTAATCTCCCCTGACAGAAGTGCGAGAAACCAAAATCTTTCTAGTATGTGCGTTGATAGTTCAGCGTGTGTTCACCAAATCCACATGATCTCCACTGACCACATGATCTCCCCTGACCACGTGGTCTCCACTGACCAGATGATCTCCCCTGACCACATGGTCTCCACTGACCAGATGATCTCCACTGACCACATGGCCTGCAGGGAGTCAGATGATCCTGTTTAAAACAGTGAAAACAGGATTGGAGATAACAGTACACGAGTGAAGAGATGTCCTAGTATGGACATATGGACCAAAGGGACAATTTTCATAACTCCCTGGGATGCATGGCAGCTTGGACAACATGTGCAGTAGCGGCTGAGACACTTCAAGCCCAACATTTCAAGATATGACCAATAGTCACAGTTATACAGAGAATTGTACAGATATTTTACATCTAATGATCTATCTAATTAAAAATGGAATCCTCAGACCTCAATTCAGCCAGATACATATTTGCAGACAAGCTGGCAGCTCTAGATTTCCTATCCCGTGAATCAATGCCACCTCTACCTGATCAAAAGGTCTCTGCCATGGACATTCAGCATCCAGAGGTTCCTCTCATCAACACTATTGCTAGGTGCAAGTTACCCCAGTTTTCCTTCCATTCTAAGATCATCAAGGATTTGAATGAGGGATTCTTTACTCAACTCAGATATCCAGACCTCTTTTCTCTTCAGGGAAAAGATTCTTATGGGTCTGATAACAGAGATTTACCAGTCAAATTGCCTGTAGTTGATGAAGGATTTCAAGGAATTGCTGTTAAAATACTGGAACATTCATCCAATCGTGGACCCTTCATCAAGTCACCTTCAGACAGATAGCGATCAAATGGGAACAACCTCATATAGGTCTGTTTGCAGTGTCGCTCAACAACCAGTTACAAACCTATATCAGCCCTGTTCCAGATACTTTAGTTACACAGTGGACACCTTGATGACTTTTTGGGAAGACATGATTGCATACCCACTAGCTGCACAAGTTGTAGCCACGGTGAGGAGTCCTCAGATGACGGTGTATCTAGTGGCACCAGCTGAGGTTTCCAGGTATCCTGTCCCAGCTGCTGGATTAACCATTACGTCTGCCCCTTTGGCCAGAGCTTCTCAGATAACCAAAGCAAGTCAGTTGCCATCTCAACCTGGAACAGCTCCACTATCACGTATGGAAACTATCCAGTGACACCTCACATCGGCAGGATTTTCACAAGGAGTTTCCTCATCTGTTACACTGTGAGAGCTTCAACATCTGCCTTATAGGACCTATTGTGGAACCTATTCCAGAAGTGGGGAGTCAGATCTGGAACAGCCAGTTTGGCAAACAAGAAGTAAAGGGACGTATTCGTAAGAATTTTGGAACGTTATCAATGATGATAATAAATCTTAGAATGCTACCTCTAACACTGAATGGAAAAGGTCCGCCCATCTTTCCCTCAGAGTTCCCAGAGTACCTTCCATTACAGCACACAGTTCACGATCTTACCCACCTATAATCTATGTTAAGCTGTCCGTGTTTCATTGTCAGAGTGAGACACCTCTTCACCAGCACACAGTCCGCGATCTTACCCAGCTATAATCTATGTTAAGCTGTCCATGTTTCATTGGCATACGTTCAGAAAATAGTGAGGTTGGTCAGATTGGTTAGAAGTGAGTTGAAATTTTGGCAAAAGTTGGCATGGGAACGTTATGCTATTTTTTCGAATTGATTGAAACATAAGGGTAACATTTTTACTTAATTTGTATACCGGTACTTTTGTACGGTTTGTATACCGGAACGGTTTCCTGGAATTCTTTCCTGGCCTCACATGTTTGTCCTTATGAAGACAACTCCCAAGTGATCAGTTGTGTTGGAGGTGACTTACTGGATCAGCGGTGTCTTTGGGTTCAGTGTAATTTGCAGATGAGTATCAAAAACTCATGTATTTAAAGGTAGAGATGTTTAGAAGGCTGTTCCTCTACCTCATTTAAAGGTCAACTTATCACAAATATGGATTGTCTGATATTATTGTCATCTTTGCCTATTTCTGAAACAGAAATATGTTTTGATGGTGTGTACTCAAATATTGAAAAGAATCTGACAGCTATTGCTAACGATACTCCTGTAATTAAACATTGAAATATTGTCTGAAGTCGTCAGTTTTCAGTTCAGAAATAAATTCCAGTGCCCACTCCTCTTGTGGCTGGAGTAGTAATGGTGTCAGTGTTTCAGCATGCTTCAGTGGATGGACTTGTCCAGGTATTACAGTTGTCACCACTTACTGTAGTTGAAGGCTTCTGCCTATGTAAAATCTTTTACCATATGTAAGTTTATTAGTAAATGACTTGACAGTGTGATGATATGTAGTAGATTTTAATGTAGAATACAGAAGAATACACCATTCTTAGTACACTTATGTACCCAGTCCTATCCTTTGAATTGGTTTGCAATTTAAGACATTACCTTAAAAAAGGTGAAGGTCAGAAAGTAATGATTCAAGGTTGTCTTGCATGTTCATACAAAGAGCCCTAGTTTCATACATATTTGGTATGGAAATGCATTTTTGTTGGTCTGATCATTTCTTTCATGAAAATATTGATATTTCAGTGATTTTGAGGCACAAATTCCTTCATCTGACAGCTGAATGTAAATATTGCCTGTACTGTATTTCCGAAGTCTGTCCACCTACCTCAACTCAATATTCAGCGCATTACATATTCGTCACTCATGTAGACAGTATATTCAGTAGTTGATGCATATGTGGTAACTCCTACACCTTTAGCTTGAGACTTATTGCCCATGTGACAATCTCATGCCAAACAGGGTTCACATGAAAAATAAGTGAGTAGAGGAAGGAAGGAACTCAGACAAATGTCAGTGTTGAAAACAGGTTACCTACCTGCCCATAGCAATGATATTTGTTCCGAGAAAACAGGTTACCTACCTGTCCATAGCAATGATATTTGTTCTGAGAAAATAGGTTTTGTGTATGTCCAATAAAATCAATATAAATCTAATAGTGCAAACAAGATTGACTTGATTCCAAGTTTGTTCAGTGAAAGTTATGTTGTGTTGTTTGGAGGAGGCATGTCATTTTTTACTCCTTTGATGTCTCTTAGAAGCCTTCATCATTTGCACTGCAGTTTGAATGATCTTGTTGGGTTATATTTTCCTTGCCCTCATGGCCTCGATGCCTTGCATGTAAAGCTGACTGTGTGAGTGGAGACAGCATGAACAGGGTATAGTCCATGTATGGAAGCTTCTTGGGGTGGCTCTAGCAACATGAGTGATTGTTATAGATTATTTATGAGATAGATGTTCGTGAGCTGTGTGATGTAGATATCAGCTCTGATAAACTATTAATCAGACTACATGATTCATGTTGCTGATGGCTGCTGCATCTGACCAGGGTTTAAAGGGGGGAACAACCTGTTTTGGTTGTCCAGTGTTTGACTTACTGTTGTTCCTGTAAATGATCACTGCCTTACAGGTTACTATGTACTGACTGATGTTCCAGTCAATGATCACTGCCTTACAGGTTACTATGTACTGACTGATGTTCCTGTAAATGATCACTGCCTTACAGGTTACTATGTACTGACTGATGTTCCTGTAAATGATCACTGCCTTACAGGTTACTATGTACTGACTGATGTTCCTGTAAATGATCACTGCCTTACAGGTTACTATGTACTGACTGATGTTCCAGTCAATGATCACTGCCTTACAGGTTACTATGTACTGACTGATGTTCCTGTAAATGATCACTGTCTTACAGGTTACTATGTACTGACTGATGTTCCAGTCAATGATGATCACTGCCTTACAGGTTACTATGTACTGACTGATGTTCCTGTAAATGATCACTGCCTTACAGGTTACTATGTACTGACTGATGTTCCAGTCAATGATCACTGCCTTACAGGTTACTATGTACTGACTGATGTTCCAGTAAATGATCACTGCCTTACAGGTTACTATGTACTGACTGATGTTCCTGTAAATGATCACTGCCTTACAGGTTACTATGTACTGACTGATGTTCCTGTAAATGATCACTGCCTTACAGGTTACTATGTACTGACTGATGTTCCTGTAAATGATCACTGCCTTACAGGTTACTATGTACTGACTGATGTTCCAGTCAATGATCACTGCCTTACAGGTTACTATGTACTGACTGATGTTCCTGTAAATGATCACTGTCTTACAGGTTACTATGTACTGACTGATGTTCCAGTCAATGATCACTGCCTTACAGGTTACTATGTACTGACTGATGTTCCTGTAAATGATCACTGTCTTACAGGTTACTATGTACTGACTGATGTTCCTGTAAATGATCACTGCCTTACAGGTTACTATGTACTGACTGATGTTCCTGTAAATGATCACTGCCTTACAGGTTACTATGTACTGACTGATGTTCCAGTCAATGATCACTGCCTTACAGGTTACTATGTACTGACTGATGTTCCTGTAAATGATCACTGTCTTACAGGTTACTATGTACTGACTGATGTTCCTGTCAATGATCACTGCCTTACAGGTTACTATGTACTGACTGATGTTCCTGTAAATGATCACTGTCTTACAGGTTACTATGTACTGACTGATGTTCCAGTCAATGATCACTGCCTTACAGGTTACTATGTACTGACTGATGTTCCAGTCAATGATCACTGCCTTACAGGTTACAGGTTACTATGTACTGTTCCACACTGATGTACTGACTGATCCAGTCAATGATCACTGCCTTACAGGTTACTATGTACTGACTGATGTTCCTGTAAATGATCACTGCCTTACAGGTTACTATGTACTGACTGATGTTCCAGTCAATGATCACTGCCTTACAGGTTACTATGTACTGACTGATCTTCCTGTAAATGATCACTGTCTTACAGGTTACTATGTACTGACTGATGTTCCTGTAAATGATCACTGTCTTACAGGTTACTATGTACTGACTGATCTTCCTGTAAATGATCACTGTCTTACAGGTTACTATGTACTGACTGATGTTCCTGTAAATGATCACTGTCTTACAGGTTACTATGTACTGACTGATGTTCCTGTCAATGATCACTGCCTTACAGGTTACTATGTACTGACTGATGTTCCTGTAAATGATCACTGCCTTACAGGTTACTATGTACAGACTGATGTTCCAGTCAATGATCACTGCCTTACAGGTTACTATGTACTGACTGATGTTCCAGTCAATGATCACTGCCTTACAGGTTACTATGTACTGACTGATGTTCCTGTAAATGATCACTGCCTTACAGGTTACTATGTACTGACTGATGTTCCAGTCAATGATCACTGCCTTACAGGTTACTATGTACTGACTGATGTTCCAGTCAATGATCACTGCCTTACAGGTTACTATGTACTGACTGATACCACCTGACCCTGCTGTCCATGTTACCTGTCCCAACCCTGCTGCCCATGTTACCTGTCCCAAACCCTGCGGTCCATGTTACCTGTCCCAACCTTTCTGCTCATGTTACCTGTCCCAATACTGCTGTCCATGTTACCTGTCCCAACCCTGCTGTCTATGTTACCTGTCCCAACCCTGCTGCTCATGTTACCTGTCCCAATACTGCTGTCCATGTAACCTGTCCCAACCTTTCTGCTCATGTTACCTGTCCCAATACTGCTGCCCATGTTACCTGTCCCAACCTTTCTGCTCATGTTACCTGTCCCAACCCTGCTGCCCATGTTACCTGTGCCAACCCTGCTGCCCATGTTACCTGTGCCAACCCTGCTGTCAATGTTACCTGTCCCAACCCTGCTGCCCATGTTACTTGTGCCAACCCTGCTGTCTATGTTACCTGTCCCAACCCTGCTGCCCATGTTACTTGTGCCAACCCTGCTGTCAATGTTACCTGTCCCAACCCTGCTGCCCATGCACCTGTCCCAACCCTGCTGTCAATGTTACCTGTCCCAACCCTGCTGCCCATGTTACTTGTGCCAACCCTGCTGTCAATGTTACCTGTCCCAACCCTGCTGCCCATGTTACTTGTGCCAACCCTGCTGCTCATGTTACCTGTCCCAACCCTGCTGCCCATGTTACCTTTGTGCCAACCCTGCTGCTCATGTTACCTGTCCCAACCCTGCTGCCCATGTTACCTGTCCCAACCCTGCTGCCCATGTTACCTGTCCCAACCCTGCTGCCCATGTTACCTTGTCCCAACCCTGCTGCCCATGTTACTTGTCCCAACCCTGCTGCCCATGTTACCTGTCCCAACCCTGCTGCCCATGTTACTTGTCCCAACCCTGCTGTCTATGTTACCTGTCCCAACCCTGCTGCTCATGTTACCTGTCCCAACCCTGCTGCCCATGTTACCTGTTCCAACCTTTCTGCCCATGTTACCTGTCCCAACCCTGGTGCTCATGTTACCTGTCCCAACCCTGCTGCCCATGTTACCTGTCCCAACCCTGCTGCCCATGTTACCCATCCCAACCCTGCTGGCCATGTTACCTGTCCCAACCCTGCTGTCTATGTTACCTGTCCCAACCCATCCAAAACCCTGCTGCCCATGTTACCTGTCCCAACCCTGCTGCCCATGTTACCTGTCCCAACCCTGCTGCCCATGTTACCTGTCCCAACCCTGCTGCCCATGTTACCTGTCCCAACCCTGCTGCCCATGTTACCTGTCCCAACCCTGCTGTGCGTCTACCTGTCCCAACCCCTGCTTCATGTTACCTGTCCCAACCCTGCTGCCCATGTTACCTGTCCCAACCTTTGCTGTCTGCTCATGTTACCTGTCCCAACCCTGCTGTCTACATGCTATGTTACCTGTCCCAACCCTGCTGCCCATGTTACCTGTCCCAACCTGCTCTGCCCATGTTACCCATGTTACCTCCCAACCCTGCTGTCCATGTTACCTGTCCCAACCCCTGCTGTCCATGTTGCCTGTCCCAAACCTTTCTGCTCATGTTACCCATCTGTGCCCAACCTGTCTGCTGCCCATGTTGCCTGTCCCAACCTTTCTGCTCATGTTACCTGTGCCAACCCTGCTGTCCATGTTGCCTGTCCCAACCTTTCTGCTGCTGCCCATGTTACCTGTTACCTGTCCCAACCCTGCTGCCCATGTTACCTGTCCCAACCTTTCTGCTCATGTTACCTGTGCCAACCCTGCCCCAACCTTGCTGCCCATGTTACCTGTCCCAACCTTTCTGCTCATGTTACCTGTGCCAACCCTGCTGTCCATGTTACCCATCCCAACCCTTGCCACTAGACGTCTATCCACTCACTCAAAATCAATCATGAACATTTAGAGGTAGAGAGGTTTAAGGAGTCCCTAGATTCAAGTGACACGGAAGTAATATTCTTTGTGATAAATTGTATCATGTGCTGTTCAGAAACATTTTTGTCCATTTCAGGCGCCTTGCTGGACCTACACAATGAGCAGAGCATCATAAGGGATTCCAATATCAAACTGGTAACATTTTGTCGAGCACTGGAAGATATTTTTCGATGTGGATTAATGAGTAAGTAAATGAAGCTAGTTTAGTAAGGAACTTAGTGTAGCTGAAGTTCATATGTAGGCATGTGTTGGTTTATTGATTACACCGCTAAGTCATGGATACTAAATATGCTCACACTTGCATGCATATAGTGTGCAGCTGTTTGGAGACAGGACTTTATACTAAGGGCTCATAGACATATTGCCAGGGAATTGGTGTATGAGAAACATAGCTGTGCCCCTGGTGTAGACACATGTCTGCATGCCTTGACAACAGGTCTCTTGTGGATGTGTCATTTGTACTGATCACTGGTCTTGTGTAAAGATATATATACTCGGTATTATTAATGAAGGGTCAAGCTATTGGTAACACAATTTCTTGAAAGTTGTAAAATCTTCGTTTTTGTTTGAAATATATACAACTGAATGTTTTACAAACTTTCTTAACAGTATCGAAAAACACATCAGGCCGTTGAAATGTCATTATTACATTCTGTTACAAATGGCACATTTTTTATTCAAATTATCAATGTGGAAATCTACCTGCCTCCTAATGTCAAAGATACACATGTGTAAGTCACTATAACCATGGGAAGTGGAGGACAATACACATGCATTGATGCTTTTTAACTATCGTTCACATTTTTTGACACTTGCTGAAAGGGGTCAGGCTATAGGCCTTTTGAAATCTGGTCAAAGTCAGCAGCAGGTTGCTGTCGGCTTTGATGTGAGTCAGAGTGGTATTGGTAGACTGTGGCAGAGATTTCAAGCCAATAAGTCCGTGGAATATACACACGTCAAACCAGTCACCTCAGAGTCACAACAGTCTGAGATGATAGGCACATGATGGTGTAACACCTTAACGCAAGATATCTTCAGACAGAACACTTCAATGTTAACAATGTAAGGATATCCAGGAGAACTTTTCGATGACGTTTAAGGGCAGCCAGACATCCGCTGTAGGTGACCTGCAGTATTTCCACCACTAACATAATATCACAGGCAGGCACGTTTGAGATGGAGTAGACATCCGCTGTAATTGACCTGCAGTATTTCCACCACTAACACAATATCACAGGCAGGCGCGTTTGAGATGGAGTAGACATCCGCTGTAATTGACCTGCAGTATTTCCACCACTAACACAATATCACAAGCAGGCACGTTTGAGATGGAGTAGACATCATCTGGAATCAATGTCAATGGTCTCGTGTGAAAACAGATTCAATTTGTCCTTCCATGTTGGTTGGCTGAGAGGGTTTATCGTTGAGGCAATGGACAGCGAATCACAGATGCTTGGCAAGAGTGTAGGATGGATTGAGCCAGTATGCTTGTCAGACCTCAACCCAATTGAGCATGCCTGGGATGAACTCAGTCGACATGTGTACACACAGTGTACAGTGGATCTCCCAGGACTCTGCAGAGCTCTAGTAGAGGGATGGAATGCGATTCTGCAAGCTTTCTTTATGAACTTGATAAGGAAATGAGAATAAGGTGCACCTGTGTCTTGGACGTGCGAGGATGGTACACAAGATATTGTGTTTGTCATTTATATTTGGGGGGGGTTGGTCTGTACAACTGTAGTTTGCTAGTGCTGTTTGAACTTTTTGTCTGTATGTCACAATGTGACATTATGATGACTCTTAGTTCTATATTTCTGATAAACTTTTCTTTACATGTGCTATATATCATTTGACACTTTATTAATGATGCCTAGTATGTATGTAATTTGTACTGATGGCAGGTCTTGTGTAAAGATACATGTGTGATTTGTACTGATACATGTGTTCGATTTGTACTGATACATGTGTGATTTGTACTGATACATGTGTGTGATTTGTAATGATACATGTGTGTGATTTGTACTGATACATGTGTGTGATTTGTAGATACATGTGTGATTTGTACTGATGCATGAGTGTGATTTGTACTGATACATGTGTGATTTGTACTGATACATGAGTGTGATTTGTACTGATGCATGTGTGATTTGTACTGATACATGTGTGATCTGTACTGATACATGTGTGTATTTGTACAGATGCATGTGTGATTTGTACTGATACATGAGTGTGATTTGTACTGATACATGTGTGTGATTTGTACTGATACATGAGTGTGATTTGTACTGATACATGTGTGTGATTTGTACTGATACATGTGTGATTTGTACTGATACATGAGTGTGATTTGTACTGATGCATGTGTGATTTGTACTGATACATGTGTGATTTGTACTGATACATGTGTGTGATTTGTACTGATACATGAGTGTGATTTGTACTGATACATGTGTGTGATTTGTACTGATACATGTGTGTGATTTGTACTGATACATGAGTGTGTGTGATTTGTACTGATGCATGAGTGTGATTTGTACTGATACATATGTGATTTGTACTGATACATGAGTGTGATTTGTACCGATACATGTGTGTGTGTGATTTGTACGGATGTATGTGTGATTTGTACTCATACATGTGTGTTATTTGTACTGATACATGAGTGTGTGTGATTTGTACTGATACATGAGTGTGTGTGATTTGTACTGATACATGAGTGTGTGTGATTTGTACTGATGCATGTGTGATTTGTACTGATACATGAGTGTGATTTGTACTGATACATGTGTGATTTGTACTGATACATGAGTTTGATTTGTACTGATACATGAGTGTGATTTGTACTGATGCATGTGTGATTTGTACGTATACATGTGTGATTTGTACTGATACATGTGTGATTTGTACTGATACATGTGTGTGATTTGTACTGATACATGTGTGATTTGTACTGATACATGTGTGATTTGTACTGATACATAAGTGTGATTTGTACTGATACATGAGTGTGATTTGTACTGATACATGAGTGTGATTTGTACTGATACATGAGTGTGATTTGTACTGATGCATGTGTGATTTGTACTGATGCATGTGTGATTTGTACTGATACATGAGTGTGATTTGTACTGATACATGAGTGTGATTTGTACTGATACATGAGTGTGATTTGTACTGATACATGAGTGTGATTTGTACTGATACATGTGTGATTTGTACTGATACATGTGTGATTTGTACTGATACATGTGTGATTTGTACTGATGCATGTGTGATTTGTACTTATGCATGAGTGTGATTTGTACTGATACATGTGTGATTTGTACTGATACATGTGTGATTTGTACTGATACATGAGTGTGATTTGTACTGATGCATGTGTGATTTGTACTGATACATGAGTGTGATTTGTACTGATACATGAGTGTGATTTGTACTGATACATGAGTGTGATTTGTACTGATACATGTGTGTGATTTGTACTGATACATGTGTGATTTGTACTGATACATGTGTGATTTGTACTGATGCATGTGTGATTTGTACTGATACATGAGTGTGATTTGTACTGATACATGTGTGATTTGTACTGATACATGTGTGATTTGTACTGATACATGAGTGTGATTTGTACTGATGCATGTGTGATTTGTACTGATGCATGTGTGATTTGTACTGATACATGTGTGATTTGTACTGATACATGAGTGTGATTTGTACTGATGCATGTGTGATTTGTACTGATACATGAGTGTGATTTGTACTGATACATGAGTGTGATTTGTACTGATGCATGTGTGATTTGTACTGATGCATGTGTGATTTGTACTGATACATGTGTGTGATTTGTACTGATACATGTGTGATTTGTACTGATGCATGAGTGTGATTTGTACTGATACATGTGTTTTGTACTGATACATGAGTGTGATTTGTACTGATACATGAGTGTGATTTGTACTGATGCATGTGTGATTTGTACTGATACATGAGTGTGATTTGTACTGATACATGAGTGTGATTTGTACTGATACATGAGTGTGATTTGTACTGATACATGTGTGATTTGTACTGATACATGTGTGATTTGTACTGATACATAAGTGTGATTTGTACTGATACATGAGTGTGATTTGTACTGATGCATGTGTGATTTGTACTGATACATGAGTGTGATTTGTACTGATACATGAGTGTGATTTGTACTGATACATGAGTGTGATTTGTACTGATGCATGTGTGATTTGTACTGATACATGAGTGTGATTTGTACTGATACATGAGTGTGATTTGTACTGATACATGTGTGATTTGTACTGATACATGAGTGTGATTTGTACTGATACATGTGTGATTTGTACTGATGCATGAGTGTGATTTGTACTGATACATGTGTGATTTGTACTGATACATGTGTGATTTGTACTGATACATGAGTGTGATTTGTACTGATACATGAGTGTGATTTGTACTGATACATGTGTGTGATTTGTACTGATACATGAGTGTGATTTGTACTGATACATGAGTGTGATTTGTACTGATACATGTGTGATTTGTACTTATGCATGAGTGTGATTTGTACTGATACATGTGTGATTTGTACTGATACATGTGTGATTTGTACTGATACATGAGTGTGATTTGTACTGATGCATGTGTGATTTGTACTGATACATAAGTGTCATTTGTACTGATACATGAGTGTGATTTGTACTGATACATGAGTGTCATTTGTACTGATACATGAGTGTCATTTGTACTGATACATGTGTGATTTGTACTGATACATGTGTGATTTGTACTGATGCATGTGTGATTTGTACTGATACATGAGTGTGATTTGTACTGATACATGTGTGATTTGTACTGATACATGAGTGTGATTTGTACTGATACATGTGTGTGATTTGTACTGATACATGAGTGTGATTTGTACTGATACGTGAGTGTGATTTGTACTGATACATGTGTGTGATTTGTACTGATACATGAGTGTGATTTGTACTGATACATGAGTATGATTTGTACTGATACATGTGTGTGATTTGTACTGATACATGTGTGATTTGTACTGATACGTGTGATTTGTACTGATACATGAGTGTGATTTGTACTGATACATGTGTGATTTGTACTGATACATGAGTGTGATTTGTACTGATACATGTGTGATTTGTACTGATGCATGAGTGATTTGTACTGATACATGTGTGATTTGTACTGATACATGTGAGTGATTTGTACTGATACATGTGTGATTTGTACTGATACATGTGTGATTTGTACAGATGCATGTGTGATTTGTACTGATACATGAGTGTGATTTGTACTGATACATGAGTGTGATTTGTACTGATACATGAGTGTGATTTGTACTGATACATGTGAGTGATTTGTACTGATACATGTGTGTGATTTGTACTGATGCATGTGTGTGATTTGTACTGATACATGAGTGTATTGTGTACTGATACATGTGTGATTTGTACTGATAAATGTATGATTTGTACTGATACATGTGTGATTTGTACTGATGCATGAGTGATTTGTACTGATACATGAGTGTGATTTGTACTGATACATGTGTGTGATTTGTACTGATACATGTGTGTGATTTGTACTGATACATGTGTGATCTGTACTGATACATGTGTGATTTCTACTGTGGCTATATCTCTGCGTCACTATATCCTTCTTATACCTGGGTTATTGATTTGCTGGACTTACTCAGATGTTGTGTTTCAGATAACAGTGGATGGTTCAGTCGCTGTGACTTCTGGACATGGATCAGCAAAGTATCTCACTGGTAACTACCTCAACATATCCCAGGGTACACAATCAGCATCTCCACCCCCAGTGTTCTAACACCAACATATCCCAGGGTACACAATCAGCATCTCCACCCTCAGTGTTCTAACACCAACATATCCCAGGGTGCACAATCAGCATCTCCACCCTCAGTGTTCTAACACCAACATATCCCAGGGTACACAATCAGCATCTCTAACCTCAGTGTTCTAACACCAACATATCCCAGGGTGCACAATCAGCATCTCTAACCTCAGTGTTCTAACACCAACATATCCCAGGGTGCACAATCAGCATCTCCACCCTCAGTGTTCTAACACCAACATATCCCAGGGTACACAATCAGCATCTCTAACCTCAGTGTTCTAACACCAACATATCCCAGGGTACACAATCAACATCTCCACCCTCAGTGTTCTAACACCAAAATTTCCCAGGGTACACAATCAGCATTTTTAACCTCAGTGTTCTAACACCAACATATCCCAGGGTACACAATCAGCATCTCCATCCTCAGTGTTCTAACACCAACATATCCCAGGGTACACAATCAGCATCTCCACCCTCAGTGTTCTAACACCAACATATCCCAGGGTACACAATCAGTATCTCCACCCTCAGTGTTCTAACACCAACATATCCCAGGGTACACAATCAGCATCTCTAACCTCAGTGTTCTAACACCAACATATCCCAGGGTACACAATCAGCATCTCCACCCTCAGTGTTCTAACACCAACATTTCCCAGGGTACACAATCAGCATCTCTAACCTCAGTGTTCTAACACCAACATATCCCAGGGTACACAATCAGCATCTCTAACCTCAGTGTTCTAACACCAACATATCCCAGGGTGCACAATCAGGATCTCTAACCTCAGTGTTCTAACACCAACATATCCCAGGGTACACAATCAGCATCTCTAACCTCAGTGTTCTAACACCAACATATCCCAGGGTGCACAATCAGGATCTCTAACCTCAGTGTTCTAACACCAACATATCCCAGGGTACACAATCAGCATCTCTAACATTTCTACTTACCCACACTGATCTTCCACTTCCACCCACTTCCACACACTGATCTTCCACTTACCCTACGACCACCCACCACACACTGATCTTCCACTTACCCGACTACCTTCCACTTACCCGACCACATGACCACACACTGATCTTCCACTTACCCACATGACACACACTGATCTTCCACTTACCCTCGGACACACATGACCACACACTGATCTTCCACTTACCCGGCACACTGATCTTCCACTTACCCGACACACATGACCACACACTGATCTTCCACTTACCCACACACACATGACACTGACTTCACTGATCTTCCACTTACCCTTCCACACACGACACACACACTGATCTTCCCACTTACCCGACACACATGACCACACACTGATCTTCCACTTACCCGACACCACACATCTTCCACACACTGATCTTCCACTTACCCTTACACACATGACCACACACTGATCTTCCACTTACCCAACACACATGACCACACACTGATCTTCCACTTACCCAACACACATGACCACACACTGATCTTCCACTTACCCAACACACATGACCACACACTGATCTTCCACTTACCCAACACACCTGACCACACACTGATCTTCCACTTACCCAACACACACAACCACACACTGATCTTCCACTTACCCAACACACACCACCACACACTGATCTTCCACCACTTGCACACGCCACACACACTGATCTTCCACTTACCACCTCGACACACTGATCTTCCACTTACCCAACACACGACCACACACTGATCTTCCACTTACCCGACACACACGACCACACACTGATCTTCCACTTACCCAACACACAACCACACACTGATCTTCCACTTACCCGACACACATGACCACACACTGATCTTCCACTTACCCAACACACACGACCACACACTGATCTTCCACTTACACACACACCACACACTGATCTTCCACTTACCCGTACTATGACCACACACTGATCTTCCACTTACCCTCACACACATGACACACTGATCTTCCACTTACCCGACACACATGACCACACACTGATCTTCCACTTACCCGACACACATGACCACACACTGATCTTCCACTTACCCGACACACACGACCACACACTGATCTTCCACTTACCCGACACACGACCACACACTGATCTTCCACTTACCCGACACACAACCACACACTGATCTTCCACTTACCCGACACACGACCACACACTGATCTTCCACTTACCCGACACACGACCACACACTGATCTTCCACTTACCCGACACACAACCACACACTGATCTTCCACTTACCCGACACACATGACCACGAGTCAGCTGGGTCAGCCCAACTCACCTAACTAGGAATACTGAAAGTCTGCTTCCTTAATTGCTAATTTATTCCTGTCCTTCTCCCCTTGTGTTTTTCAGGATGGGATTTTGTGTGTCTGCTTTCCCTATAGGACAACTTCCACAGTCTCTATTGAAGCGTGCAGCATGCTTCACTATCTGCTCACGTGACTCCCTCTCAATGATCATTCTCTTTTTTGTTGCACGACAGTGCGGACGTGCTGTATATTTATTTGGGGACAGGTTTCACCATAACATCATGGGAAAACCAGATCTACAGTCAATAAAATGAAAGTTTTTGTGCTCAATGCATGAAGATTTTTTCGTCTCTCGATCCCCACTCGTCTTACATTGATCACAGAGAATTTCAGACAGCGGCCTGAAAATCTACAGAAACTGGCCCCACTCCCGCAAAAATATGCAACACCCTACTTATGATCGTGGCTCAGCGTATGAAAGTTGATTCATCGGACCAAGAAGATTTTATAGGCGTTTCGTCGGTTTCCTATTAACTGAAAATGTTTGTAACCTTTTACAGGTGCCTCCTTCATCGTGTGTACGCTATTGCGTAGTAGTGATTGAGAGTCCCTCAGTGCCTGTCACATCTACAGTTTCAAGGGATCTTCGATCAACTTCATCATCATCTAGATCATCGATCCCTCCCCCATTGACTGTCTGCAGCCTGTGTGGGTTTGGAGCGTGGCCAGTTGCGTTCGTCGAGCCGACTGTCCCCTCCTGGTTCGTTGAACTGAATGGAGCTGGCTCCAACAGCGTCATTGGGGGATTCGCATCACGAATCTGTTTCCATCGATTTAGATCACCCGACTGACAATACATATCACCACACCGATCCCATTCACCACGCAGATCCAGATTACCACCAAAATCCTGATCACCAAACCGGACGTGTTCACTGAGCCAATCCAGATCACAGTCCCCGATCCAGATCACAGTCCCCGATCCAGATCACAACTCTGATCCAGATCCAGATTACAGATCACTGAACCGTACTAGGTCGCTGATCCAACAGCATTCACCGATCCAACAGCGTTCACCAAACCGCCAGCATTCATTGAACTGTTAGCATTCGCCAAACCATCCATTTCTCGGACATTCCCCACCAACTCTACTGATTCACTGAATCAGCTCGATTCGGCAAATCCCCCTCTGTTGTGTCGTGCTACTTCCAACATGGCGTATCTTCAGAACTCTCCTTGAGCTTCGGCGAAATTGTACCTACGCAGACGTTCGGACAACAGCTTTCTTCCCAGCCTATGGGTTCGTCTGAGCCTACCCTACTTGTGTCTGGGATGCCTCCCAAGACGCTCAACCCACATCAAACTTCGTCTTCGTTCTCTTGGTTTGGGCTATGCCAGCCACCTATAATATGAAGGAATAGTTTTGGTTGATTTGACACACATGATTGCTTGGTTCACAGACCACATAAATCTATCTACAGCCGACCACCTACAGCCTTCTACTACATTCAACATGAAGGATCGGGACTTGTCAACACTGTTCTTTTATATCCTCATTGAGGATTGTGAACTAGTATCTAGATACAGCCAAATTTGTTGAACTATACCAGCTTCCAACACGATGTTAGTATTCAAGGCATTTATGAGTGGCATGCTCTAAGCACGACAATCTGACTTGTTTTCTCCAGATTACCCTATGTCAGTAGTGCAGGCATCTAGATTATGCCAGCACTTGACGTTCTGACGATCCTGGATCTCCAAGACTCCTCCGTGACCAAGGCTCATCTCATTCCAAAGGCTCATCTCATCACCATGATGGATGATTGTTCAACGAATCTACCCTAAGGCGTAGATGTCAGCTCTACAACCACCCGTTTGTGCATTACTAGATCAGTTTGCTATAAAAGAATATTTTAAGACGCTTCACTGAGTGCTGTTACTTCCGACTACCTAGGCTGTGGTGTGTCGCTAGGTGCAATCATGGCCTGGTTCGTCATCTTCGAGCGAGTGACTTTCAAGACCTCCTTCCTGTTAGCCTTGGCTACTTTGTCCGTTTCGAGTGGAAGAAGCATGGCAAGGTATTCCTGGGTCTCCGCTGGGACCAACTGCCAGGGCAGATGTTTACTATTCCCCCGTTGTCCACCATCCTCTAGCCTGATGATAAAGAAGACTTGACAGTCTGCCTTGTTAGGGCTCTACGCATCTTCCATGCTGCCTCAAAGGACCGTCAACATGCGTCTTCATACCCTTGTCGACCGCTTCAAGAGCTGAGGTTTCCCAGACTACACTGGCCTTTCACTGCCACAATCCTGTGGGCCTACGCTTTTGCAGGGTTACCTCCTTCAGCCACCTCCAAAACATCATGAGACTCGTGACTTGTGCACTAGCCCAGACATTCATCTTGGAAGATTGCTTATGGCGTTCTGATTCAGTCTTTTCTTCACATTTCCTGCGAGACCTGTCTGTCATGGATGTCCAAGGACTACACCAGTCGGAACCTCTCATACTGGCTCAGCAGCTTACATCGGGCCCACCAACGCAGATAAGGGATGGTTCCGTGTGTACATTACTGCTTCTCTGTATATACTGAATAAAAGTTTGAACAAACTTTTGTTCTTGTCATTATGGGTTCAGAACTACTTCACTTAGCTTCCATACTAAGGCACTGAATATGGTCACCGGGCGTGGCCTTATAGACGCTGAGGCACAGTCTTGTATTGCGATTCAGAAGTGTTCGACGTTCACGCTTACTGACCTCTACTCCACAGAGCAATCATGTCAGTGAAGTGTGTCATTCCCAAATTTCAGTGGATTTCGTTGCGTCCTGGCTCCTAAATTGCCGGGCACATCCTTTGACTAAGCTTAGGTAAAGAGTAAGGGTCAATTTGATGGTGTCTCGGGAACTGAATGTTAAAACTTGTGAGCTTTCTGAGTTGTGCTTCTCTTTCACCCGCCCACAGTTGGTGTCTATGAGGTCTTCTTGAAGCAGGGCCTGGCTCGATTCTAGTCGAAAGACTGTAATTACAGGGGTACCTTGTAAATCGTGGCGAGGTGAAGCTTACTTGCTGAGTTGCTTCCCTTTGTCTTGTACGAACGTTGCGGCCGAACACCACATCGCTCGGGAGCACCCATCTCCTTGAGAGTTATGCTTAGTAAGCCACAAAGTTTCAGAGAACCCACTACAAGCATATGAGTTATGCGGAGTCGTAACAGACCTCCCTTGTGCATCGCTATCTACAGTTGTCATCAGTCCACACAGCTTCTGTACCAGCTGTTCACACTGTCCAGATAGAAGGGTAATCTGTGACCTGCCGTCCAACCGTGGGATAAGTGCAAGTCATGAGATAGGACAAGTGTAAAAATTTGAAAATTGTAACTATAAATTGTATATTTATATACTTATCCTATCTCACACAATGGGTGCCCGCCTGGCCTCCCCACTACTCAGATTACGGCGTTGGTTCCAAAACCGGGAATGGGACTAGGGAAGCAGTGCTATAGGGAGAGCAGCATGCAGTGCACAGGATAGGATAAGTATATCAATATGCAATTTATAGTTAAAATTTTCAAATTTGTTAATGGTGGCATGAGTTATCTTGGGCTATTTATCTCAGTGCTGGACAATTAGATTTAGTGTATTTAACGTGTAATGCAGAGATTCAGAACATTTTTGTCTTCGAGGCGTGGCATTGTGTGTACATCAAAAGTACCACTAGGTGAGGTCATATGAGACTTAATTTACGAGACAGTATGATAATTACCACGATCCACGAATCAAGTTATACACAAATTTAGGTTACGGCTCTGTAGTACATTTGGAACTTCTGTACTGATATCTTGACTTGGCTTGGCAATGTTCAAGTTACTATTAGAGTTAGCTGATGGATTCCATTTGAGATTTGAGAAGCATGTTGTATTGTACATGTTTTGAGATGTGAGTTATGAAATGTATTATTTATTATGATATGTATTGTAAGAATTGAGATGTCCCATGAGTAATGAGATTTTTATTTAAATAGCATCTGCTGACACTACTTGTGTGTTCCTTCCAGTGCCAACCCAGTACTTGAGCAAGTGATCAACTATGCCCGAAACTGCCAGAAGGTAAATATCTGATTTTTCCTTATCCTGACTCATGCTCTTTTGCTTGTCTCCTTCTTCTTGCGAATGATAGTGGAACACTTGAATCCCCTTTTGAAGCTCCCTTAAAAAAAGCGGACGTAAAATCACTCACCCAACGAGTAGCCTCCCTTTGCCCTTTGGCGCCCCTATTGGTCACCTGACCAGCCATGCTTGTCACTCTCTCCTTCTTCGCCCTAGAGGACTGTTGTGAGAGCGCCTGGATCCCCTATACGGCACTATATCCTTTTAAATTTTTACTTATCCTGACTCATGATCTTTTGCTTATCTCCCCTTGAAGTTCCCAAAGCGGACGTAAAAATACACTCACCCAGGAGTTGCCTCCCTTTTGCCCTTTCCCTGCGCAAACAGCCAGGTGACCTGCCTTACTTGTCACTCTCTCCCTTTTCGCCCAAGCGGATGGTTGGGCGAGCACTGGAGTCCCGTATACGGCATTATATCCCTTTTTATTTAGGTCCTATTCTTCAAAATTACGATGTATATGGATTTGGCTATAACGACTATGTAGTATTTGTAAACAAAATTGTAGAAATTAATTACATGTGAGTTGTGTTTTCATCGTCATGTAACTTTGTTTACATTTCATGAAATCTTGCAGTGTTTGCAGGCACAGGTTATCCGTGGCTGATCCTCACCCCCAGTGTCTTCATGCATAAAACCATGTTCCTCCAGCTTGCGCTTTACTTATTGTGTTGATTTATCAAATTTTCAATTTAAGCAATATTTGTCTTATATCTATAGACATGCCATGGATCGGGTGAGAAAGTCATCTCAAGTCACGGTTGATAAAACTGGAGATCAGCCTTCAAACCGTATGTTGCTTGCTACTGCTGATGTTCATAATACTGGTGCTATGTTTAGTGCGTTACAGGGGAAGTCTGCTGGTAAGGGGGTAAAGAAGAGATCGTCTACATCGCAGTCGACTCCGTCTCAGGCTAAGAAAAAGACGTCATCTTCTTCTACAACGCAGAAGAAAGCATCTGTTACCAGATCGGAGGGTAAATCTACACGTGCTAGTACATCAACGCAGCAGAAATCCTTCAACGAAGAGATATTACCTCCACAAGAATTAGACGTCTTTGATGAACCCCTATTACTTCTATCTGAAGTATCTATGAGATCAGCGACTCAATCGACCTCTACTACAACGAGATCGTCCCCTACAACGGTCACAGCAGGAGAGCTGTTTGACGAACTACCTCTTACTTCTCGGAGTGAAGTTGAGGCACAAAACTCATCAGCGTTCGCGAACACTTCGTCTACACTGCAGCAGCTTCAACCTATGCAGAACTTTGACCCAGGCGAATTTATGAAACAATTCACCAACCAGATGATGGCCATGATGGAACGTAGGTTCCAGGAGGAAGCGAAGGCTAGGAAAAGCCTCTCATCTACCGACATCGTGCGCAAACCTACGGACCTGTGCCAACCTACGGGCCTGCGTGAACCTACTCCTCATAGAACAACGTCTCAAGACTACGTTGGCAAACGTGCACCTTTGCGAAGGTCTACACAGTGGGACGACTAATGTCATGTTGGAGGATAGAAGAAATGAGATGCCTACTCTCAATTCTACATCTGCGAACCCTCAACGTTCGAGAACATTGAAGGATCCAGCTCCTACACCTAGCCGCTCTAGGTCGAGATCTCATATCTCTCACAGACGTTCGCGAATTCACTCACCATAAGACAGAGGTTGGCGAAGAGAAGGCTCACAGCACAGGAGTTTGCCCTACTATAGACGTTCGCGAAGAGATAGCTCACCTCACAGAAGTTCGTGAAGAGATGTATCTGCAGATAGAGGTTCGCGAAGAGAGCACTCCCAAGATAGACGTTCGCATAGGGAGGAATCTTCAGACAGAGGTTTGCAAAAGGATGATGAAGGTTCGAGAAGGGATACATGTTCGCAGATTGATGAATCGTTGAGACCTAGCACTAATAATCAGGAGACTTTGGACTTGCAAACAGACTTCGTCTTCCCAGACTCAGAGGTTACAGCGTGGATTGCCAACAGGTTGAACTTGGAGTCTCTTTCTAATTATAAAGATGAAGTCTACACTTATATGATGCGCAACGACGACTTTAACTCGGTGACTATTCCTCCGATTCCACCTATATCCAAGGTACCTTCTAACCTACGCACAGCTTTGAGGAAGCTACAGACATCTACAAGGTTCGAGAACTCTCAGATCTACAGGCAGATAACAGCAACGCAGACATCTACAGGGTTCGCAAACCCTAGGGTTAACAAACCCTTACATCAACAGGCAGGATGTTGACGTCGACTCTATTACCATACGGCTGAATAAAACAAAGCAATGATGAAAACAGATGGTTTTGTCAGAGTTTAAAACTCAACAAAAAGATCTACAACATGTGGATCTCTACAGTTACAGCCTGCACAACTCTACAACCTGCACAAACCTTGCACCTGTATAGGTTCAGTTTCGGACGACAACCTACTTGATGAAAGGAATCACTTCATCTCTACAGTTACAGCCTGCACAACTCTACAACCTGATGCTGAGGTCTTATACCAGGTAGCAGAATCACTTCATCTATACGGCTGAGGTCTATACCAGGTAGCATATTGTCATTCACTCACTCACTCCAACCCAACAGAGACGTACTGCATATACGCTGATGACTTCGGCTCCAATATGATATCACCTATGAAGCCGATATCTCAAGTACTGGAGAACCTCAAGGCGACCTTTGTAAAAGGCTTAAGGTTAACAACCTTCAAGTGTCCTTGAACGGACGTACAGATGATATTATTAACACTCGTCACTCACCGTGGGGATTAGGAATTTATATCCTATCAACTAGATTCACCATCGGTATTTCTTCAAGATCCATACAGACATACGTCTCGACAGCCTCCTTCGTCATGCTGGGAATAAGTGATTTATATCACTGAACAAGAATTTACACTTGGAGCAACCCTTAGTCAAGAGGTTTATATGAGCGCCGTAGAATTACGCGTGCTTTTACTCAACCAACTAATATTGCATCAGATTTTATGAAGGCCAGCTTGCTACAACACTGGTGACGTCATGCTTGAAGCTGATCGGTCCACGTCAGACAACTCCTCCCACTGACAGCAGGCTCAAGCATGTTTTCTGATTTGTAAACAAACCCGTGGTACGGGGGAATACTTCATCGGCAGCCTTGGAAACAGTATACAACTACGGCCTGTTATCATCATGGGAATCTAATAGATGTCTAACCTTGACAGCAGGATAAACGATGTTTATTTTGGAAGTTGTTGCTGATAAAAGTCGGTATGAGTACCTGTCCCCTGCGATGCTACACTGGAGCCAGCCTTGCTATAAATAGACAACGCTTCGATGTCAACACAGATCGCCTGCGTATATAAGGGGAAGAATGATGTATCATCACTGCAATCAGAAGTTAGCACTTCCAATGGAACGTCCTACCGTTTGGAATATCGTCGGCTCTATGATTATTTATACGAATAACCAAGCCTATCAGCACCTATCTGCAGCATCGAGGTCTACGCAGTGCCGGTTATCTGGACGACGGCATACAGGTTCTTCAAAGTGCCAATCAACTCAGACAGCAGCTGAACTTCACAATTAAGTTGCTCACGCAACTAGGATGGCTAGTGAACCTGATGAAGTTGGAGTTAGAATCAAACAAGATCTTCAATTGCTTGGAATAAGAATTATCACAGCACAGAATCGAATTGTGGTCCCAGAAGATCATTGGGTCAAGATACAAGCCATGATTCCACAAGCAGTCATCTCTCCGTTAACACTACGAACATGGCAATGGCTACTCGGTCTACTAACCTCGGCACAGGACTTGACTCACACAGGAAGATTACAACTAAGGCCGCTGCAACGGTTCCTGACAAAACATCTGGACAGCGTCGACCCTATCTTGCTGCCAGATAATCTTAAGAGGTACCTACTTTAGTGGACCCACCGGTCGAACGTCTGCGGAGGGACCTTTTTATAAGAGCTGGCCTTCAACACACATCTCTACGTAGACGCATCGATACAAGGTTGGGATGCACATCTCAACAATCAAGTTGCATCAAGGAAGTGGTCCAAACAGAGCAGCATCTGCTGGAGATGAAAGCTGTGATCAACGCCTTACAACTATGGTCAAGCTCGCTGATCAACAGAATGCTGAGGGTCCACACGGACAACTCTACAGTGGCATTCTCCATGAATCGGCAAGGATCTACAAGATCACCTAGCCTACTACAACTCATCTCTCAGTTGTTTGACATCATGGAGGAGGCACACATCTGGATAATGTCTTATCACATACCCGGAGCCAAGAACGTGCTCTCTCCCGACCACTGCACCCGTCACCTACAGAATGGATGCTCCACCCAGAAGCATTCGACTCATCATAATGGAAATAGGATCCCCATGCTTAGACCTGTTTGCCATGAGGTTCAACAAACAACTACAGATGTTTGTCTTACCAGTTCCAGAACCTCAAGCCTGGGCAACAGATGCACTGAACATATCATGGGAAGGACTAAACGCTTATGCGTTTCCACCCCCAATATTACTACCGAAAGTACTGTTGAAGATCAAACAGACACAGGCTCTACAACTGACCTTGGTCGCGCCATACTGGCCAGCGAGAGTACATTTTTAGGCCTTTACCACTAATTTTAGCTGTATATGGCATTTAGGAAGATATACCAGCAATATGGTTTGAAATTTTTGTCTAAATTGTTTGTTTATTCACGTTGTTGACGTGATATTTCATCTTGTTTACAATTGATGAAAAACTTGCATTCGTTGCAGGTACCGGTTGTTTGCTGCTGATCCTCATCTATTATGTCCTAATTGCACTTCTACATGTTCTTCCAGCTTTCGCTGCCAACTTTGTCAGCATTTATCTGAAATTGAATTTAATAATTATTTATATTCCATTCTTAGACGTGCTAAGGACAGGTCTAGATGGTATTTACAAGTCATGTCTAACTGAGTGAATGGGCTGATAACCGTTTATTGCTGGCTGCTGAGATTCACCATTCCAGTGAATTGCCTGTTGCCACTACGGAACATTTTGCTGTGGCAGAGGGGAGCTCCGGCTCCAGGAAGAGGTCGTCAACGTCGGAAGTAACCTCGTCGCAGTCTAAGAAGACCAGGGCATCGTCTTTACAGAAAAAGAAGCGTCTGCAGATGAGACTTCGGCGAAGACTTCCCATGGGGCAGCGCAGAAGACGAGGTCCTTCTCTGCAGAGATCATCCCTCCAGATGAAGTAGACGTGTATGACGAGCCACGCATCCTCATTCCTAAGGTAGTAGTTAAGGCGAGATCCTCATCTACAGTGATGTCAGCAGTCATCTCAGTGTGCAGTCAGATGATCTATCAACGAAGACATCAGGTACCAGAGACGGCAGTTCTTCACAAGTGCAGCGGCCCTTGGAAGAAGCCTCATCACTCTCAGATGCGTCGTCATCTGCAGCAGCAGCAGCCGTCGTCGCAGAACTTCAACCCGGGTATCTTCATGCAGCAGTTTACTCAGCAGATGTTGGAGCTGATGGAACGACGGTTCACACAGGAGAAGGCTGCGGCGAAAGCCCCATCTACGATGAGCCTGCACGAAGGACAAGCAGTCTGCACATCGCCTCATCTACGACGACGAGCCTGCACGAAGGACCAGCAGTCTGCACATCGCATCCCAACAAAGATGGAGGCCTGCGTGAAGGAGGAAGTCTTCGTTAAGGCTGCTACAACTTCATCTACGATGACGAGCCTGCGCGGAGGACCAGCAGTCTTCACATCGCATCCCAACAAAGATGGAGGCCTGTGTGAAGGAGGAAGTCTGCGTGAATGCTGATATGAAGACTTCATCTACGATGATGAGCCTGCACGAAGGATCAGCAGTCTTCACATCGCATTTCAACGAAGATGGAAGCCTGCGTGAAGGAGGAAGCCTGCGTGAAGGTTCACACTTGACTGCAACCTCAACAACGATGATGCAGCCCTAGACGTGCTGGAAGGAACTTCCAAAGAGCCTTCGCGCAGGAGCAGGACTAGACGTTCTTTCGAGTGTCGCAGAAGTTGGTCACATGGATCATCTTCACCCTAAGACGCGGATCTTCGGGCGTGAGCCTGCGTGTAGGCACTCCTCATCACGGAGAAGAGAATCCACACCTTCACATCGCGGGAATCTGAGATGAATCAAATGCTGCAATTTGATTGGTCCATGAGAGACAATGCCCTGTGCAGAAGTCGGGCATAGCTCACGTGCCAGGAAGTCGTCTACAGTTGTAAACGACTTTTCAACGTGGGAGGAAGGCTCCATTTACAGTCCAGTTAGCAGGGTACAGCGTGAATCGACTGTCTTCACGGGTCATGAGGACCTTCCCTGTCAGCAGATTGAAGATTGTTTATTCGACGATTTGCAGCAACATACGTTTGACGATTCCTGCTTGCGGCAGCCAGTCTACTATACATAGACTTCACAGCGATGGCAGTTCCAGTACATCTAGAGACGACGAATTATACATCATCACTGCACTTTGTTGGGATTCTGGGGACAAGTCTACTTGACATATTATCGTAAGATTGAAGAAATAAACTTCAAATCATGATTCCAGAACCGGACTTTGCTCCGCTTCCATTATGCACATGGCAAGGGTTCCACTGTCTACTTACCTACAATGTAGGATATGAGCAGATTTCTGGGAAGATGTTCATCTCACCACAGAATCGCATGGTCGTCTCAGAGTATCATTGGGTCTAGATACAAGCCATGGTATCTCAAGCGCTACTCTCTCCGTTACCACTACTAAGTTGGCAGAGCCTACTCGGTCTTGTCACGTCAGCTCAAGACATGACTCGCAGAGGAAGACTACAACTGCGCCCACTACAAGTGTTCGTGAACGCCCATCTCGACAGTCTGGACCCCTTCGTGTCACCGGACAGTCTGAAACCGTATCTTCTATGGTGGACTTGGAAGTCGAATGTCTGCGGAGGAACCTATTTATCCGAGCCGGAGTGCAGCACTCATCTCTACGTAGATGCATCACTTCAAGGCTGGGAAGTTCACCTCGACAACGAAGTGACAACAGGGATATGGTCGAATCAGGAGCAGAGTCTGCACATCAACATGCTCGAGATGAAAGCAGTAATAAACACCTTACTACACTGGTCCAGCATGGTAATCTGGGTGTCGGGCTCATATACAGAGAGAGTGACAAGCATGGCTGGTCAGGTGACCAATAAGGGCGCCAAAGGGCAAAGGGAGGCTGCTCGTTGGGTGAGTGATTTTACATCCGCTTTTTTTAAAAGAGCTTCAAATGGGGATTCAAGTGTTCCACTATCATTCGCAAGAAGAAGTAGACAAGCAAAAGAGCATGAGTCAGGATAAGTATAAAATATCAATTTTAGCCAGAAAATTACATGTTGTGTCAAATGTCAGGGTCATCAATACATGGAAAGACTTGAAAACAGTATAGCTCGTAATATATTTGCCGTTTGAACAGTAGTCAGAAGTGATTCATTATACTGAAAGTACTTGTAACCTCTGTTTTGTGATTTAAGGTTTTCTGAAATGGGAATTCTTCACTCTGTCGTCTGTGTGACCTTCCAGGAAGTAACAATGCAACTGCAGAAACAATGTCCCTGGTGGTTGTATGATAGTTGTATAATTCATGACTCCACTGCAAATAGTTTCAGGAACATATTACTTTTTCATGTTTTTGCTTGTGTTGTTAATTTGTGTACATTTTTGTACATAGCTGTTGTGTTTATTACAGGTGAAGACAGTGGAGGGGAAAGGACGCTTGTTCATCAGAGCAGGTCTGGTCAAGAAGAAGCTGGATTGTATCGTACATCACATCTGTCACGACAGGCAGCTGTTACAGGCAAGTGTTTGTTACAATAATGATTCACAGACAGTGTTCAGGGGCATTTCTAGGTTTTGTACAGAGGATTAGGTCATCTTAAATTATCTTGAACGGTCATCCTGATAACAGCTAATCAGAACATATTAGGCTTATCTTGTTGTATGCTACTCTGAATCATCTTGTTTCATGCCAGAGATATATATTATATTACTTACTGTCTTCAGATCTATTTTATCCATCTCAGATTATGCACTTTCTCTTGTTATTACGACCTTGCAGTTAAAACAATGTTTTTTAGACTCTTGTAACACCTCTCCCAAACACTCTTGAACAATTCGTCGATCCCTCTAGTTGTTTTGTCATGCATGTCTTCGATCCCATCACAGTCAGTGATCCCCCTAGTTGTTCTGTCATGCAGTTCTTTCATGCAGTTCCTCGATCCCATCACATCCCTCTAGTTGTTCTGTCATGCAGTTCCTCGATCCCATTACATTCTTTGATCCCCCTAGTTGTTCTGTCATGCAATTCCTCGACCCCATCACATCCCTCTAGTTGTTCTGTCATGCAATTCCTCGATCCCATTACATTCTTTGATCCCCTAGTTGTTCTGTCATGCAATTCCTCGACCCCATCACATCCCTCTAGTTGTTCTGTCATGCAATTCTTTTGTTCTGTCATGCAATTCCTCGATTCCCCCATCCCATCCATCCTCTAGTTGTTCTGTCAAGCAATTCTACCCCATCCTCTTTGATCCCCCTAGTTGTTCTGTCATGCAATTCCTCAACCCCATCACATCCCTCTAGTTGTTCTGTCATGCAATTCCTCGACTCCATCACATCCCTCTAGTTGTTCTGTCATGCAATTCCTCGACTGTCATGCAATTCATTACATGCTTTGATCCCCTAGTTGTTCTGTCATGCAATTCCTCGACCCATTACATTCTTTGATCTCCCTAGTTGTTCTGTCATGCAATTCCTCGATCCCATCACATCCCTCTAGTTGTTCTTTCTGCAGTTCATGCAGTTCTTTGATCCCATCACATTCTTTGATCCCCCTAGTTGTTCTGTCATGCAATTCCTCGATCCCATCACATCCCTCTAGTTGTTCTTTCATGCAGTTCTTTGATCCCATTACATTCTTTGATCCCCCTAGTTGTTCTGTCATGCAATTCCTCGACCCCATCACATCCCTCTAGTTGTTCTGTCATGCAATTCCTCGACCCCATTACATGCTTTGATCCCCCTAGTTGTTCTGTCATGCAATTCCTCGACCCCATTACATTCTTTGATCTCCCTAGTTGTTCTGTCATGCAATTCCTCGATCCCATCACATCCCTCTAGTTGTTCTTTCATGCAGTTCTTTGATCCCATCACATTCTTTGATCCCCCTAGTTGTTCTGTCATGCAATTTCTCGATCCCATCACATCCCTCTAGTTGTTCTGTCATGCAATTCCTTGATCCCATCACATCCCTCTAGTTGTTCTTTCATGCAGTTCTTTGATCCCATCACATTCTTTGATCCCCCTACTTGTTCTGTCGTGCAGTTCTTTGATCCCTTCTCCTTCAGTGTTGCCTGTGAGCAAGCCGAAAGCTGAGCCCATCACATATTTTACCTACGTATCCTATGATCAGTTTGTCTTCCCTATTTCCTTCCTTCAGTTTCAGGTCATGTTGCATCTGATCCCCACTTTCTCAGCTCCATCACTACTATTAGAAACTTGAAATATTTATAAAACTTATCTTATGTCATACGATGTATTCCTGCCCAATTAACCCTGCTACACAGATGACAAGATTAGTTCTGGCTGCCAGCCAAGTGAATGACATCAGTTGGGAGTCAAATGGTCCACCGGGGTAAAACCCACACATTCTGTGAGCTTCCAGGCACTGCCTACAGCAATTGATGGAGTGAGTTGTGTTTGGGTAAGATGTTACAAGAGACTGAAAACTTGTTTCAGGTTGTAAGAACAAGAGAAAGCACAAAATGTGAGATAGCATTAGTATTATAAACATACAATTTGTTGTTAAAATTCCTATTATGTTGTTTCATTATCAACAGATGTGGTATGATCCTCACAGATCCATCCTGGGAAATGAGATACTTGCAGGTACGACAATCATGTGTGCCTCAGCAGTTGTGGCCTTGCCCTGGTAGTGACATGTATGTTTGAATACAGTTGTGGCCTTGCCCTGGTAGTGACATGTATGTTTGAATACAGTTGTGGCCTTGCCCTGGTAGTGCCATGTATGTTTGAATACAGTTGTGGCCTTGCCCTGGTAGTGACGTGTATGTTTGAATACAGTTGTGGCCTTGCCCTTGTAGTGACATGTATGTTTGAATACAGTTGTGGCCTTGCCCTTGTAGTGACATGTATGTTTGAATACAGTTGTGGCCTTGCCCTGGTAGTGACGTGTATGTTTGAATACAGTTGTGGCCTTGCCCTGGTAGTGACGCAGGTATGTTTGAATACAGTTGTGGCCTTGCCCTTGTTGTGACATGTATGTTTGAATACCCTTGCCCTGGTAGTGACATGTATGTTTAAATACAGTTGTCACCTTGCCCTTGTAGTGACGTGTATGTTTCAATACATTTGTGGCCTTGCCCTGGTAGTGACGTGTATGTTTGAATACAGTTGTCACCTTGCCCTTGTAGTGACATGTATGTTTGAATACAGTTGTGGCCTTGCCCTTGTAGTGACATGTATGTTTGAATACAGTTGTGGCCTTGCCCTTGTAGTGACATGTATGTTTGAATACAGTTGTGGCCTTGCCCTTGTAGTGACATGTATGTTTGAATACAGTTGTCACCTTGCCCTGGTAGTGACATGTATGTTTGAATACAGTTGTGGCCTTGCCATTGTAGTGACATGTATGTTTCGATGGGGAACATTCCTGGATTTGCACCCCCTTGCCCACTTGGAGCGCTGCGGTAGTTACGGTCAAACAGTAGCTGTCACTCTGATACTGGCATATAGGCGTGCCTATCGGCCAAGCCAAAACTTAAATCGACATTAAACCTACTTTTTACTATGTGGTTGTTATATTACGAATTACGGAAGCTGGAAGTTGCCCCGGCCGAAGACTGTTGTCAAAGCACGGAGAACTAGCGTGTCTGGACGAAAACTAATGCTAATAGAACGGTACTGCAGTTATTGTAATATTGCCGTTTCTCGGAATTTCTTATTGATGGTGTCAAATGGTGTCAAACCATTTACTCCCCATTATGTCGCATTACACAGAGCATTAATGGCGTCGTAATAGTTCTTAGAACATAGGATTAGTGTACACTGAAATTAGCGTTAGACAAATAACGTTAGCACTGACCTGATTACGCGCACAACATAGGTGCTTCAGTTTTCGTTCACGTAAACAACCTATTCTCATAGCCTATGACGCTTTGGGATGCAATGGAAAGAGGAAATGCTATGGCAACGGATCGTTTTCGAGAGGATTTGAAACATAAATAATTTTTATCGAATTAACGGCTCGTTGACAGTGTGTTGAACAAAATATATTACACCCATTCACACGATAAATAAGCACACAACTTCCGGGTTTATAGTTTTTACATACATATTTAAGTACCGCTCAAAATTAATGGGGTGGGGTTGGTGATGATTTTTATGGAGAAGCATGTACAAGGTGAATGACCTCCCTACAATTCATGTACTAAGTAAGTGACACCCCCTTTGCATATGTCATATTCCAAATCAATTAAACCCACCCCACCCCATAATTTTAAGCATAATCTTTCTTATGTACAAATTTTACTTACCCTCCTAGTACATGTGTACAAAATTGATGACCTCCACCTTTCCAGAACAAAATAGGTGATCCCCCTTAAATTCATCATCACCTCACACTCCACATCCCCCTAATATATTATGAACCCTTAGGCCATTATTCAATCCCCAAAATGTACGGTAGCATATTGCTTGCACTATATATTTCTATGTATCATTTGGGACCCCACCCCAATCTGTACCATATTTAAAGGCTGTCTCTTCTCAACACAAATAACCAGTATCTAAATGACAGATCACACTTTGAAAACAAAAGAATATTATTTGAAATTGTGTTTCAGGTGTTGTGAAATAATGTAACTAAGCCTGAGTGAAATACTGAAACATTATAAACACATTGAACCATTACTGGAGGTCTGAACTATCTGATGACAGAAGCAATGGGGTATCGGGTACCTTGTCTTTTAAGGTGGGAGCCTTTTAGATTTGAATACAAATATTTCACATTTGTTATTCCAGCCTGTGTGAAGGGTTTGCAAATTACATCAAGGCTCATCACAATTATAATTGACTCACAGTGTCAGTGAACACAGTTTGTATTTGAAATACTGAAACAAGGAATAATTTAGCTTTTGAATGGTAGTCTAAATGGTACAATCGAGATTCTACAATACTTACGATTATCCCTCATGTGTCAATTATCATCAGACCAAAATCAAGTCGCGGTTGTCATTTCAGTTTTATTGTTCAACATATTATATTGTGCATGTATGGACATTCATAAATATAGACATACATACAGTAAAAAATGATGGTCTCCTTTGAAGAACCATGATTAACACTTACATCAGATGCATGTTGATGTCTTCCACACTGACAATCATACTGTCAATATTGCTGTACAGATAATTTAGGTGACATGCATAGGCACCAAAAATGGAAGCACAACATTGAAGTCTGAATATTTTGACAGTCCTGTGTAAATGAAAATTCCTGCAGCACTAAGCATAGTAGTTAGTACCGGAAGCACTGCATGTTTGTCTGTGTGTTGATATACAGTAACTTTCATATTTGGCCTGTGACCAGTCTGAGAGAAAATGTTTGGCTCAATATTCTTGCCATCAAAATCATCATGGGTGACTGTTTCCTCCCCAGCTTAATCTCACTGATGTTACATTCAACATCACAAGTATCCACCAGCATTAAGTGGGTCAGCTGATACAGTCCAGGGAAAGAATTGGTCATACCAGATCTGTTTTTCTCTGTTGCATCAGACGTGTTCATCCTGGAAAACATCAGTGGAGTATTACTATCAAAACTGATACAGGGTAATATTATCTCATGACTGCTAGTTATGAGAAAATGTATCATTATCAGATTTAAGTTACTATTGTGGAGAAAGACATGTCACACAATGAACATATTCATTCCGATAGGTCAAAGGTGGAAAACATTATTCTTAACAAATGTTTCGATATGGAGAAGCATAATTTAAATATGCTGACATGTTTTCCTTCTCTGAGTGGCATTTAGAAGTTGGTGTGATGAACAAAAAGGAGAGTTCTATGGATACTTGCTAATATAATATGAGCGACATTGTGGTGTAGCTACTAACACCCTTATCAAGTAAGTAACTCTCCTCATGAATTTTTTTTCTATATGGAGATATGTCTGATACAAAGAAGTGTGTTCAACAAGTACACCAGACATTATTCAGACAAATTCATACCAAAAGTAAACAAACAGTGTGAAACTGACAACTGTATTTAAGATGCATGACCAGGTGCTGTATGGGAGAAGACAAGCAGGTAAAATCAACAGGCCATATCAAGTGATGAATGCTTTGCTAATATATAATTGAAATATAGTTGAAAGTAAATTCAATATATTAACCTGAAGTTAAAGCGAAAAAGATTGTGTACTGTAAGTTTTGATGATTACTACAGTGAGAGGCCCCTAATGTTTCACTGCGGAAAGTTTTGTACAGCATGTGTCCCTCTTGAAGCAACACATTCTTTTTCCCTGAATCGATTCAAAACCCCTGCTCGTAATTTTGGTTGGCATGCACTTTAACTAAATTTGGCAAGGAGAATAACAATAACGCTTTCTTCAAACTGTAAAGATACAAAATACGCGGTACTTACCATAATTAGATACAGTAACAAAAATCGCTCTGTCAGAAGTGGACAACACTGAGAATGAGACCAGCGAGATACCTCGCCATGCTTTTGTTTCATTCGCTGTTACTCGAATGATAGTCAACCACCATTTCAGCAAGTTTTGACCTCGACACGCCGAACCTCTATTGCAGCATCTCGAGGCAAGGCAGCACATCTCAGGCATTGTAATATTGCTACTCATTTGAAATCGACCGCGGCAACAAACTTTGAACGCCATCATTATGCCGGAAGTACACTTAGGGACCGTGAGTGATTGGCTTCATCTATTGGCTTAAGCAGTAAAGGGAGATAACTGAGGAATGTTCCCCATACAGTTGTCACCTTGTCTTGGAGGCAATCATATGTAAAGATGTTGCCATACCATGAGATGTATGTTTTAGTAAGATTTTCACCATGACCAAATGTTTGTCTGATGTATTTTCATTTGTTGTTACTTTATTCTGTTTACAGAGATTCTGATGTCCTTTTGAAAGAAGTGAAAGGCATGACCTTCCGACTTCTGCTTAAGGTTGGAGCATTTGACAATGTGGAACATGATTAAGCGAATCCTTTCTGACTAGAACACATAACTTTCTCCATTGGTCCATTCATGTGGCGAATAAGTTTTGAGGGGAAAGGTTGTTCTGTTCACCTAGCCTGAGGATCTGATGTTTGGTCTTTGTTTCAGTTTTCATGGACTGCTTAATACCAAACTGACATGCTACGTTATAACTGGACTGCTCAATACCAAACTGACATGCTACGTTATAACTGGACTGCTCAATACCAAACTGACATGCTACGTTATAACTGGACTGCTCAATACCAAGCTGACATGCTACAATATAACTGGACTACTCAATACCAAACTGACATGCTACAATATAACTGGACTGCTCAATATCAAACTGACATGCTACAATATAACTGGACTGCTCAATATCAAGCTGACATGCTACAATATAACTGGACTGCTCAATACCAGGCGGACATGCTACAATATAACTGGACTGCTCAATACCAAGCTGACATGCTATGATATAACTGGACTGCTCAATACCAGGCGGACATGCTACAATATAACTGATCTGCTCAATACCAAGCTGACATGCTACGTTATAACTGGACTGCTCAATACCAAGCTGACATGCTACGATATAACTGGGCTGCTCAATACCAGGCTGACATTCTACAATATAACTGGAC